ACAATGCATGAATATTGATCTGAACTTGTATTTCTGAAACATTAAGACCTCAATTATCATGGAGTGAGTGAGTGAGTGAGTGAGTGAGTGAGTAAAACGCTGCCTTGAACGGACGTAGTTTTGACCAAGGCACATGTAAATCTGGGATTCATGTCTGTCGCTGTGATAATGGCCAAGGGGCGCAACTCTGCATGGCGAATAGCTGATCCTGGGACTACTTGGCCACCCGTGCCCCGCATTAGTCGGTAGAGGCAACTGGCGAAACGTTGTTGGAAACAGACACTTTAAAGTCATTCGTCTAAGGTCACGGAGTTGCCTCCCCTAGCCGTGTTCCGATGATCATGGGTTTGAATCCATGATTCGACCCGATTATGAACCTTGGTTTGTTAGCACATACTTGTGCTCTTGGGTTTCACGAAAGAGTTAAACATCTATGACCTGCGAACCATGGCCGTTACTGTTATATCAAGTTGACACGTCTCGTCCTAACTGAAATACTGTTCAAATCAGCATAAACCCAACTCACTCACTCACTCACTCCATATACAGGGAAACCTGGTCAAAACGAACTCCAATATGTCGCTATATCGTTTAAGGGGCGGTTGGGTATCCTGGTGGTTAAAGCGTTCGCTCGTCACGCTGACGGCCCGGTTTCGATTCCTCACATCTATGGGTGCAATATGTGAAGCCCATATCTAATGTCCCGCGCCGTGCTATTGCTGAAATATTGGCAAGAGCGGCGTAAAACCTCACTCACACACTGTCGTTTAATCGACAATCAACAACATTGTCGCGATAGAGTCCGTATCGACACTAAACAGCCTTAACAGCTGCATACCGCCTGCGTGGTCTAGTGGTAGGGCGTCCGTCCCGGACAGCGGAATGCACAGGGTTCAATGCCCGGCCGCGTCATACCAAGAGTCGTCAATAGCTGGTACTTGTTGTTACGGTGTCTGGGGCTCGGCAGGGACTGAACAAGGACTGGTCGGCTCGGAGTCAGCATACTGTGTCTGCATTGGGTATTTATGTAAAACCACGGTATTGTATCTCAGTTGGCTAGCACTACACCATAACATGGACATTTCACCTCACCTTGTTGTGTCGCGAATAGGGTTAACTGCCTCGTGGTTCTCAAGGTTTCGTTGCAATTCAGAAACACATATCCAGCCAAAGATAAACCAGCCATATCCCAGCGTTGATAGGTGAGGTGAGGTGAAATGGGGTTTAACGTCGCGTCCAAGATTATTGCACTTATATAGCGACGTGCATGCACGTGTATGTGTGTGTGGCTGCTTGTACTAGTCCGGACTGATGCCGATTTATAGTGCTAGCACACTGAGATACCATGCCGCAGTTTAACATGAATACCCCACTCAGACACAGTATACTGACTCCAAGCCGACCAGTCCTTGTTTTAGCCCCTTAATGCCGAGCGCCAGACAGGGTAACAACAAGTACCATCTTTTAACGTCTTTTGGTACGACGCGGCTTGGGATCGAACCCCGGACCTTCCGCTCTCCGGGCGGACGCTCTACCATTAGACCACGGAGGCGGTCCGACCGTTGATAGTCTAAAGTACTTTGAGAAATAACTGTCCAGCAATCAGTGGCAAATTATCATCGGGTAAAGCGTGTGGGTGTTTGTTTACCTTTACTCCGAAAACAGCTTTCAACAGCGGAACTAGCTATAACGGATTGTAAGGATGCTACATCAACCCATTATGAAAAAAACTAATGAAGTGGAGTGAGCACTCTTTGTTGTTTACATTGCAATACATTACATTTCGACTCAAAGGGTTCGCCTGCGGATTAACAAACCATGTATTATTGACAAACACAGCATTAACAGCTTCTGTGGGTGATAGGCTCTGGAAACGTTTGTTCCTTTGTTGTACTCGTTTGCTAATGTAAAACTAATACCACGCTAATGCAACAATTACTTGCCGTGTCAGGATAATGTAGAATATACATCGCATGTTCTCGGTGATCATACGAATTCCTGTATCACAGGCAACCAGTATCATTGCGATCAAAGCAGTGTTAGGGTGGTGTGTTGTAAAACAGATGCCACGTGCACTCGGTGATAAAACGAAGTTTTGTTTTCACGGCAACCTGGACCATCGGGAACCTAGCAGAGCCGGGATTGCGTTACCACAAAGTCTCGTCAGAGACCATCACCACCTCTAGTTCAGTTTGACCACGCCAATGGTACAGCCACCACATGCAGCTCAGTGTGACCACCCTAATGGTACAGCCTCCACCAGCTCAGTTTGACCACGCCAATGGTACATCCGCCACCAGCTCAGTTTGACCACGCCAATGGTACAGCCACCACATGCAGCTCAGTGTGACCACCCTAATGGTACAGCCTCCACCAGCTCAGTTTGACCACGCCAATGGTACATCCGCCACCAGCTTAGTTTGACCACGCCAATGGTGCAACCACCACATGCAGCTCAGTGTGACCACCCGAATGGTACAGCCTCCACCAGCTCAGTTTGACCACGCCAATGGTGCAACCACCACATGCAGCTCAGTGTGACCACCCGAATGGTACAGCCTCCACCAGCTTAGTTTGACCACGCCAATGGTGCAACCACCACATGCAGCTCAGTGTGACCACGCCAATGGTACAGCCTCCACCAGCCCAGTTTGACGACGCCAATGGTACATCCGCCACCAGCTCAGTTATATTTTATGGTCTCTGCTCTCGGTGACAAAACGGAGTCCTCTTTCACAGCAACCAGTGCGACTGAGAACACAGCAGTGTAAGGATAGTGTTCTAAAACACACACCACTTAATTTGGTGATAAAACGGAGTCCTCTTTCGTGGACAAGAGGGACCATCGTCAACAAAGCAATGCCAGGATAGTGTTGTAAAACACGCACCACATGCGCTCAGTGAATCACGTCTTTAGTCACGGGTAACCATAATCAACTATAAGAGCGCAGGATGATGTTATGAAACACTCACCACCCGCTCTCGTGGATAAAGTTCTCCTTCACGGACAACCAGTACCATTGCGAACAGTTTAGACTCTTGTCTACATCATGGCCAACGTAACTGCAACGTCCCCTGAGCTTTTCTATGTATACATCAGCCTGGACGTCATCTCGATAGTGAACAGTGTTTTAATTCTTGTGGTGTTACTGAAGTCTCGTATGCGGGCAGAACCTACTGGCATGTTGCTCGTCAACCAGGCCTTCTGTGACCTGGCCTTAGGGGTCATGTACGTTATAATGTCTTGCCAAAACCTCATCAACGGCGAGATGATCTGGAACATCCTCCAGAGCAACATCGTTATCTATGTTCTCTTAAAATGCGAGTCGTTTCAAACCCTTGCTTTCGTTGCCGCCATATTGTACGTCGCCATACGCAAGCCCACGGTGTATACCAGAGTTGTTACCCTGCGGAATATAGTTCTATTAATTGTCATCTCATGGTGCGTTAACACGCTATTTTCATCACTCTTGCTCCTGGGATCGACCCACAGTGGCAAGATTACGACTCTGTTTAAACACACAGCTAAGTGCCAACCATGGCTGGTAGTTATTCTCCTCCTGCTTCTTGTCATTCTGCCACTGGGGACTGTATTATTTTGCTATTCGTCAATCTGCATGTACATCTGTAAGTTACACAGGGCAGTATCTTCAGGGGGCTCATCCAACCAACGCACCAGCAAGTATCTCCATTGTGCACAAGGGTTGATGACGATTTCGGTGATTTACATGACGTCATATCTTCTTGTGGTCGCCTCGAGCTTTGTTGACGAGTCGCATGATGATAGCAACGACACTCTTGTCGTAACGTTTAGAGCAGGTGCAAGTATTATTCATTATACTTACACATGCTTCAAGTTCCTTCTATTCATCTTGTGTTACCCGGATTTCCGGTATTGTGCCAAATTCCTTTTTTGTATGATAAAACCAAAGGATATACCTGCCAATCGGAGTTAAAGTCTTGGCACACACAGTCGTCCAATCTGTACGTGATCGCTATAAATTGTATTGTATAAAAAAACATAACATTCTTCGCATTGTAATCTGTTTCACTTCCACTGCTTTATATGAACATTTGGATAGTAAACTCTTAAAGCTCTGTCGTATGTACAGTTGAACCTAGTGAGTCAGGCCACTTTAAATATCCGGATTGTTACTGCTGGGAATTTCTACACATATGCTCGGTACCTGATTCATGAAACTTGAAATACCAATGTCGATAAACCGGGCGATTTCAATGAGGACGCGGCAAAATCCGGAATAACGAAGGTCTAATGTAAATCTTATGAATCAGCAGTGTTATTTGTTAACGAAATGAAGGAACGATATACAGTAAACTACGGTTATAACGAACACGCTTATAACGAACTAACGGATATATCGAACTAACCTTTTAGTCCCGACTATATGCTGTAGTTATGCTGTATACATGCTTATAACGAATTACGGTTATAACGAACTGAAATTAGTAGTCCCTTTGAGTTCGTTATAACCGTAGTTTACTGTATTTTATTAATGATACGCTATGTTGCTTCTTTGCAGTTTAGATACGCATTTTGGACTGACACTTGAGATGCCGGCATGTTTTAATTAAAAACCGAGATTTAAAAATTATTCAGAATTCTTTCTGATTAATATTTCATTGTTGTCTCCATGTTCAGACCAATGTTACGGAAGCATGGCGGGTGTAATCTTCTGTTGAGAGATGAAGTTGCATTTGACCGCCAAACAGGAATCATGTATGTTTGTTTAATGTCGTGTATCCCCAAACACATTCATTTCTGGAATCAATTTACCATTGTATTGCGTGTTGTGATGTCGTCTTTCTTGCTAAACCTCCAGACTGTAGTCTCTATATCATTGTAATAAAATGTCTAACAGGACTATAAATATTTAAATGAACGGACTGTTTTTTTAGATTTACACATCGTTTGGAAATGTCGAAGAACATGGGTCTAAAATGTATTCAGAGCATAGCGGTGACAAAAAATTAAACACACCCAAGGTTATCAATCATTTTATCTTTGGAATCCAGGCTGGTTTTGTCCAGTCAAGGCTCTATACATTTCATTTGAACCATCTGTCGCCATACAGAACATTTACTCTGACATTTCATGTACAGGAAACATGCAATCGGATATAGGCTGCCATGGCCGGATGTCTTGGTCCTCAGGTAAGCGTGATAACGATGTAGAGACATACAGGTACATTTAGGCATGCCTATGACATATTAAGTTTTTACGAAATGTGACACATCTTTGAGTGTCGAAGCTGCTGATTGGATGACGAAAAGGAGAACCGAAAAATGGTGTTTGATACGTTCCCATTGGTCATCTTGATCACGTGATGTCTCCAACTCGAAAATCAGGTCTGCTAGGCCAGGAAAACTTGATCCCTCGTAGATGTTTAGCTTACTTGGTGCCAGGAACACGTGTCTGAAATATGCATAGCGTTGTAACACTTTCAGTTCTCAGGATGGACATAAATCACCAAAATGAAGTTAAAGAATGACCGATGTTTTCATATAACTATAGTGTATATGTCATGTCTGGTAGGTATTACGACACACATCCTTCCAATTGTGGGTGTTCTTTAACTTCTTTTGATTAGCACATGTCTTGTAAATAACAAGGATTCTCACGACCAAAGAATGTGAAAACTTGTATGCTCGAAGTTCTTCAGAACATCGAAAATATGTTGACATATGGATAGTTCGAGACAAGATACCGAACCATGAAGTATAGACGATATAACGAGATTATGACATTTCAGATAGGGAAGTTTCATTGTATCAATTTTGTCAAGGTATAAGGTCGCTGACCTATGGTTCTGAGACGCACAAATCGTACATTGAAAAAGCTTATCAAAACATAGTTCCATCCGTTTCACCTCGATACGCAACACATTTCCATTATATGCCGACTGAGCACATACCGGAAGTAGGATCTTCCCGGAAGTCCCGCGGGGTCAATAAAGGCTCGCTCCAGCTGCATCATCTGGTCATTGACCTTGCGTACAGCCAGGGGGCTGCGAAATAAGAGCATTTAGGATTTGGACAAAATTCGGGCTATTTCAATGACCATCTTCATAAAATCGGTTGAAATTCAGCCTGGATCCCTGGGTATGATGCGCTAGCGCTACACTGAGCGCTTGTGGGAATTGTGTTTCTTTAGCGGAGGATGATCAATGTTGCAGCAGATCTCACGAAAGGTTCTTGCTGAATGCATTTTATGCACACGGGAATGAATAAATATCCGTGTTATAGCGAAACATTAGATACTAAGTGAACCAAACTGACTTATCTGTTTGTTATACTATGTATAATAACTTCAGTTACTAATATATATAAAACTAACGCTTGATGGTGAATAGTGATAGGAGAACATTGTGGTATAGGCCGCAGTCAGCTATATTCCAGTTATATCACGGCGATCTGACAATAATCGTGTCAGGACCAGCAAAACAGTTGTTGACAGCAAGAGCAACGTTAAACGCCGTCGAATGCGACGACGTACAATCACCCAGGTCCTCCTTGGTCTGGTGTTACAGAGTGAGTGAGTGAGTTGGGTTTAACGCCGCTTTTACCAGTATTCCAGTTATATCACGGCGTGTCGGCTTAATGTGGGAGGAAGGCCGAAGTGGTGCAGGTCTCAGACGTTTACCACTTCGGTGAAACACACGAGTACGGGTATGGTGCTGACAAACCTAGAAACATAATCGGGGCGAACCGTGATTCGAACCCACAATCATAGGTTTCTGGCGTGCCCAAGGGACGCAACTCTGCACAGCGAATCGCGGCGCCTCTGACGACTGGACCACCCGTGCCCCCGGGTGTTACAGAAGCATGTGGTTCTGGAGGCCTGTTCTGAATCCTAACGGTCTCAACCTTTGTTAAGGATACCGGGATAATTCACAAGTACACATAGTACATGGTTGGAGGAATGGGTTACGTGTCATAGGAACATAAAGATATCCTTAACAAATGTTGAGTAGTATCGTAAAAAGATAGGTGACTATTCACAGATATTTCCCACATCTGTAAATAGGTCATTTGAGGAAAGTAGAATGTGTAAATGCTATTTTATGTCGCATTCAGCGGCCTTGAAGTAATTGAATCTGGGACCAACTAGTGGTTGATAACAGGAACACCGGCCACGCAGTCCGGCACAATGACAACCATATTATCAGACAGGTATAATATCGCAAGCACCCAAACCTCACCAGCCAACAATTAGAATTAAAGCGACTAAACCCTTTTCATGTTCATAAATCTCTGCCAGTTGACTGTACGATTCCGACTATATTATGAGAATGTGTTTATGAATCACCATCTAATATTGATGGTACCAGGTGTTCGAGAAAAGGTGAGGTATCCTGCACCACCGCTGGGTTGGTTGGTTGGTTTGTTGTTTAACGCCGCACTCAGCAATATTCCAGCTATATGACGGCGGTCTGTAAATAATCGAGTCTGGACCACAGAATTCAGTGATTAACATCATGAGCATCGATCCACGCAGTTGGGATACGATGACAAGCATCAACCAAGTCAGCAAGCCTGACCACCCGATCCCGTTACTCGCCTTTTACGACAAGCATAGTCGTCATTTACGGCAAGCATGGGTTGCTGAAGACCTATTCTACCCCGGGTCTTCTCGGGTCCCACCGTTGGGTGTTGTAAGGGTGTGTGTATGTATTTTGCACTAATGGAACTCACTCCTTCTTGTTGATCGTTGTCATTTGTTTCATGAAGTCATCAGCAACAGTTTGGAAGTCTTCAATGTTTGTTCTCAAAGCAGCTGTATTCAAATGTAATAAACGACAATTAGATTGAAAGGAAATGCATAGGATGAATCAGTTACGTACATAATTATACGGGGCAGGTCGTAGACCTTTTCCGCTGAAGTGAAACCCACGAGCACTGATAGGGTGATCAGAAACAATTATATCGGGGCTAATCTGGGATTCGAGCCAAATATATGCGGATCCTGGCAAGTGTAAGGGACGCAACTGTGCCAAACCTAATTGCTGCGCTATTATCACATATTGTATATATATCATCGGTATAGTGACGGGCCATGTATCACCATCAGTCTGAATCTAGGATTTGAACCCACGCCCTGCGGATCCCAGCATGAACCAAACAGAAAACGGTTTGTGACACACTGCTGATGTCATTTCAAAACTGGGGCGGTCGGGTAGCCTAGTGGTTAAAGCGTTCGCTCGTAACGCCGAAGACCCGGGTTCGATTCCCGACATGGGTACAGTGTGTGAAGCCCATTTGAAATGCATGTATCGAAATCTCATCATCGTGATTAACGACGTGATATAATCTGCTACCCACAATAGTTGGCTATTCTCGGTCTAAGCAACGCCCCGTGGTTATTGTCCAGTTCTTTCCTGCTCTGTTCCAACATGACGCCGTAGTCGGAGACGTTGTAGGGAAGGACGAGGGAGTCGGAGAGGCTGCGAGCTAGCTCCACCCACAGTGACGTCACACAGGCGTGGATCTGCGAAGCCAAAGAAAAACCACCAGTCGGAACCCATTTATATGAATGAGCTTCCCACAGCTACCGTGCAAAAATATCCGATAAAGCATTTTACGTGGCACATAACATAATTCCGGCATCAATGAGTCAATATGTTGAATTTTTCGCCGCTTTAACGAATACCAGCAATATCACGAGAGGATAACCAACATTTTGGCTTCGGATAGAACCACAGTTTTCGGCGTGACGACCGAAAGCTTTATCCAAATGGTTAATCCAACGCCCGCTGTGTGTGAAATGCGCAACCCTGGCGTTGATCACCTTTCATTATGGCGACTGAGTGAGTGAGTTTAGTTTTAGACTATTTGTCAGATGAGTTTTGTTTAACGCCGCACTCAGCAATATTCCAACAACATGAGGGCGGTCTGTAATTAATCGAGTCTTGAACTGACAATCCTGTGATTGACATCATGAGCATCGATCTACGCGATTGAAATACAATGACGTGCATTGACCAGGCCAGCGAGTCTGACCACATGAACCCGTTAATCACGTCTTACGACAAGCATGGTCGCCGAGGACCTATTCTAACACGGATCTTCAAGGGGCATTAGTCAACAACCTCTCCATATATAAATTAGAAATATATGTCATTGTGAGAACCACGAGGATGGGTCAAGGGCATTGTGTAGGCTTACAGAAACGCTAGCCCCGGAGATACAGAGGATGTTGAAAATCGTTCACACGTCATTCTCATATGACCCGCATACCATTTTTGAAATTGTTGATGTCCTAGTTTACCTTAAACTCCGGATCGTAGAACTTCTCCATGGCGTAGAATGTCTCGTACACGGAATGGTAGAGGGGGTATGAGGAGAGGATCGTCTGGAAATAGAGGTCAACATCAACGGAGACGTCATTCCAACTATCATTAACTGTATAAGGAAGCGAGTGGGTAAATGTTATTTAACGCCGCAGTATTCAGTCTCTATAACAGCGCATGCAACATATTCTGAACAAGCAAACCAATATTGTATCACAAGGGAAGACACACAACCCTCAATTAGCCGACTTATTCATGACCGCCTTCGTGGTCTAGTGGTAGAGCGTCTGCCCGCAGAGCGGAAGGTCCGGGGTTCGATACCCGTCCGCGTCATACCAAAAGACGTTAAAAAATGGTACTTGTTGTAACCCTGCCTGGCGCTAGGCATTAAGGGGCCAGAACAAGGACTGAACGGCTCGTAGTCAGAATACCGGGTCTGAGTGGGGTATTCATGTTAAACTGCGGCATGGTATCTCAGTGGGATAGGACTATACAATCGGCATCAGTCCGGACTAGTACAGCCAGCCACACACAAACACGCATGTGGATGCACGTCGCCATAAAAGTGCAATAGTCATGGACGCGGCGTTAAACCCCATTTCACCTCACCACACATGTTTTTTTAACGCCGCTTTATTCGGTCTCTATGACAGCGCATGTAAACGATGACTGGAAACCAGACACACCAGTCAGTGCTCGAAGGGGTGACACACGATTAGCCACGTCGTACATTGTGACCACACAATCCTCAGTTAGACGGCTGTTACAAGGCAAGGGTTGTTAAGGTTACATTGCCTAAATGTCATAGCTCACCTTATCATATGTGTAGACCATCCCGGATGAGGGGATCCCGGCCTTCTGCACGAACGGGGCGTAGTCAGTACCTGACCCAAGTTTACTGATCCTGTTGGAAATATTCGTTAAGTAAAGAAATCAAAATACATGTCAGAAGAGACGCCTGATTTCAAAACTATTATCGTCAAAATGTATTTTTATCAGTTTGAATTAAACCGATTTGACACATAAATGACATGGATAGCCAATGAAATCAGTATATTTCGAAACATCATGCAGATTATAATTATTAGTATGTGTATTTACATTGGTACATCACGTGCCACACCACTCGTCGTCCAGGGGGTCGCGGTCAGCCAGCGATCATAAACTGACCCGTCCGTCCGAGGGTCCTTTATCTACATTAGAAACACATAAGCTGATATCAAAGAGGCATAGAGGACGCTTATTGAGAATGTGTGTATTGAGTTTAAGTGGATGCTGTTTATTGCCCAGTCAACGGTTCCAGCTATATCACATGAAGCTGAACCAGCTAAACCAGGGGTTGACTGCATGAGCACACATCCACGTCGGCCCACGACCACAGGCAATCAGGTCAAACGCCCTTCGGACAAAGATGAGGTATTGAGGACATGTTCTGCCACAGAATCCCCACGGGCGTGTGTAAAATGACTACTAATCACGCTTTACTTTTTTTCTTCTCTTTTTATTTACCTCTGCATTCTGCAATATTCTACAATGTGTGAAGCCCATTTCTGGGGTTCCCCGCCGTGATATTGCTCGAATATTGCTAAAAGCGGCATAAAATAATACTCACTCACTCACTCAGCAATATTCAAGGTATATTGCGGCGGCCTGTAAATAATCGAGTATTTGCCCCGGTTCACAAAGCGGTCGTAGAGTTACGACTGTCGTAAGTTTATGTTAAAGTATGGGAGTTACGATCACCTTAACGCAGACCCCTGGATCCCGTTCCACAAAGCGTTCGTAGCTCTACGACTGTCGTAAGTCTATGTATGTGAGTTACGAGTATGGGAGTCACGATCGTCTTAGCGCTACACTCGCTTTGTGGAACGGGTCCCTGGATCAGCCAACCTGGTGATATGACAGATATTGTGAGCAACGCTCCACGCCGTGGACACGTCGTCAAGCAGGTCACTGAGCCTTCCATTTGGGCGCCTTATTCCACCAGTAGGGGACCAATTCTAAGCAAGAATCCCGACGGGGTACCTTAGTTTTGATAAGGCATAGGGACAATATCACCTTGTGTGCATTACTCACCTTTTTCGCTGCTGCATAAACGGCCCGGTACATCAAAGGTGTCGCCGCAAAGGAGATGGTGTGATTTCCTTCATAGAATAGTGAGAGTAAACACCGCGTTTGGGGTGACAAGTTGACACATAATACGTTAGTTCTACTTCATGTTTTCTAATTACCAGTACAAAGAGACAACAAGTTGAGACAAGTAGTCTGAATCCCGTTACCCTGGAAACAAGTACTCTGAATCCCGTTACCCTGGAAACCACAACTATCGTATCATGTAAGCTCGAAACGGACTTATTACACACACGAATCTTAGTATGGAAACCCGTTTATCTGGACAACTGTAAGAAGTCCGGATTATTAAGGTTTCACTGTATCGGCCGAACTAGACCAACTTGCAATGTCCCTCCCTACCACTGACGGCTGTATCAACGTTGAGGTAGGCGACCGTCCTCGCCCCCAGTGTCTTCACGTACTCCTGGAATACAAACATTAATGAGTAAATGTTTCTGACAACTACGTCACACAGCTCTGATAATGTGCTTATACAGGACTGTACAATGCAATTAACGTTATGTTTGTGCTTAGGGGTGATTGAGTTCGTGTGTCAGTAAGTGCGTTCGTTGGGTTTTACCCCCGCCTTTAGATTAGAGTACTCATTTACTGCTGGACATTATTTCGGAAATTTCAGATACTGGGGATGGCCCATATCATACAAAGAGTGGCGGAGTATGTTTTTAGGCCGCTTTCAGCAATATTCCAGCAATATTACGGCAGGGGTCACCGGAAAATGGGCTTCACACACTGTACTCATGTGGGTAATCGAGCCTGGGCCTTGGGCGTGACGAGCAAAAGCTTTAACCACGCTTAAACCCATTTCAGATACTGAATGACTTGAATCGAACTATGACACCCAGAGCCCAGTCTACACACACAAATAATTCATGACAGATTACCTATAGTAATGTGAAAGACTCGGGGGTCCGAGTCCACATAAACTAGTTTAGGCCGAAACTGATCAGGCGATATCGTTGCCGATTCCATACGACCGCACCGTAATGTTTACTGTTATAATTAATGGGTAGAAATTTTTGCCAGTACAGTACCTCCACCCATTCGTTGGAGCCCAGCAGTCCGTACTCTTCTGCCCCCCAGCTACAGAACACCAGGGACCGGCGGGGACGCCATTCACCTGGGGAACAAATACTGATAGCACATGATTTAACACAAGGTTTGACAGTATTTTCAGTATATTTGACAGCCTATGCCCCATCGAGTGCATGTCGCACCCACCAGTCAGTTCAGCTGTGATGTAGTAATTATGAATGCATAAAACATTATCCATTCTCTCAGTCAATGAAAATTGCGTTTAATGTAGAAGCGCGTGAACCAGCCGCTGTGCACTGACCACTGCTCGCCATCTGCGCCACGACCCTGGCCGCTTCCATCATGACCGCGGACCCACTGGACGGGTCCATTGCTCCAAACACCCATGCGTCTCTATGGTTGCCAAGAATGACGTAACGGTCTGAAATCAATGTTTTGAAAGTTTGTATGTACTGCACATAACAAGATTCGATAAAGTTGAGTTTCTATGTCATATTTTCCTTTGGGACATGATTTTTCCCCCTCTTTTTATTGAGTTAGACTGAGTCATAGTAAGCCTCGTCCAGTCACCTCAGGGTACATGACGTTGTTAGCCTCTACTAACTCACGTCAGGGTACATGACGTTGTTAGCCTCTACTAACTCACGTCAGGGTACATCACGTTGTTAGCCTCTACCAACTCACGTCAAGGTACATCACGTTGTTAGCTTCAAGTAACTCACGTCAGGGTACATCACGTTTTAGTCTGCACCAAGTCACGTCACGTCAGGGTACATTACGTTGTTAGCCTCTACTAACTCGCGTCAGGGTACATCACGTTGTTAGCCTCTACAAACTCACGTCAGGCATTACGTTGTTAGCCTCTACTAACTCACGTCAGGGTACATCACGTTGTTAGCCTCTACTTACTCACGTCAGGGTACATCACGTTGTAGTAA